CCGGAGAATTGAAAGCTCTTCGTGGCCACAGTTTGCAAATTACTGGTACTGTGAACGTTCTTCTCCGGCTTCTGATATTTCCTTAAGTAAAGCTCATTATGCTCGTTATTTTGAATAGGTGTTTCGCTAAACTCGTCTTTAATAATAAAAATTTGTTCTTTATTTTTAACTTACAAATAATTAATATTTTTTTCTTTTTTTTTTTAATTAGGATCGAGCAAAAAAAGTTACGAAAAACAAGTTAAAGAGAAAAAAGTACGAAGTGTAAAGAAAGAGTTACTATTTTACTAGGTGGCAATGCAGCCGGTACAGAAAAAATCACCCCGCTTTTTATTGGGAAATCAAAGAACCCTTTCAGAAGAAAAAAACGAGGAAAAAGAATGATATATTTAGAGTAGTTTAGATAGTAAATACAGTTGTAAACTGTATTAGTGAAAACGATGTAATGTTTAATAATATAAATAAATATATACGGTACAATTTTAAGTTTCGAAAAAAAAAATATAGTTAAAAAAAAAAAAAACTTAACATTTTATGATAGTTATACAATTTTTATGCATCCGTAATTCTTTAAAGTTTTTTCATGACTCTGTTGTGAGAATGCTCTGTTTTACCTTTGTCAATTTTCTATACAGAAGCAATTTGAACTGGAATTTGTGTTCTTTTACAGAATCGTAATTTATATACTAATAGATATAGTGATTTTCCTGTAAATACATTGCGGCTTCTCTGATTGCAAATCAAAATTTCTAACGCGGGCATCTTTTATAAATTAGATGTTGATATAAAATTGGTTTCGGTATTTTTACTATACTATTATGTAGGTCAAAAATTTTCAGGGTAAAGGGATCGGCAAGCTACAGCACATATAAATAATAGGATTATCTAGAAAGTTTTCGCTTCTAAGCTAACATTGTCTTGAAAATCAAGTATGGGACATACAATTTACTATATTCCGTAACTCGATTTTCAAGGCAAAAACCCACTTGTATTTTATATAATTGATATTGTCACGGCCAAAATCGGTTCTACGGCAAAATTGATCCCAACGGGATCTACGACATTATGATTCGGGTTTACTAGTCGATAGTTTAATGCGTGTAACCGATCAATCAAGAATCGCATAAGAAATATGTGATTGAAGTGAAGGATAAGTATCGGATGATTAATTAATTATGTAATTGAAGTAAAGTTAACTATCGTGTGATTAATTATGATGTAATTAATTGTTAAGTATATAAGGAACCTTTTTGCTGATGAAAGGACGTAACAACACATAATAGAACTAGAATTTATGGATGGTTACGACTCTTATGTGCGTGACAGGGCGCATGAGGAAATATAAAAAAAAATTGTCCATTCACATACAAAATAAGTACAAAACATAAGTAAAAAATAAAAATACTTTCTCTCAAAGCGTCTGAACGGCATATTATGAGAAGACATAACAATTGGATAACTCCAATTAGTGGTCGGAAAGGGTCGCCACAGAAGAACCTGGGTAAGACGAAAGTCTTGCTCGCTATAAAGAACATTATGTGTTCTTGGTGGATACCAGGAGGTTGATACTGGGTAAGACGTGTTTGTTAAAAAAAAAAAAAGGATTATGAACAGCTTGTGATCTTGGTTACGATTATGAAAATGGTATCGGTGTTAAGAAAAACAAAAAGAAAGCTTTTGAATATTATTTTAAAGCAGCCGATTTAGGAAATCCAGTTGCGATGAATGATATTGGTCTTTGTTATCATTATGAAATCGAAGGGTGTCGATCGAGAGTACACTAAAGCATTCGAATACCATGAAAAATCTACTAATATAAGAGTTGGTGCTGCAATATTTATCAAAACGGTATCGATACAAAGAGAGACATTCATAGTGCAAATTATGGGTATACAAAGAATAGAAGTCTTTAAAAACTAACAAATCACCAGTTTATATAATCTTGAACTTAAGGAAGTATTAGGCGATGAAAGATTGGGTCAATTGTAATGAGTTCAGAGTAATCAAGGAAATGGGAAAAGGAGCTATATATTATGCACGTTGATTTGATAGAATTAATAATATATAGAATGGTGGTGCACTTAAAGTAATTCGTGGTTCAAACGAAAACGAGCAAGATTTTACACACGAATTGAAGAATTATTGTGAAATTGGTTGCGCGAATCCATATTTTTTGGAGTGTCAAGAAATAATTCTGGTGTTTATATTACTGTTATGGAGAGGACTTAACAAGCAGATGTAATAGGTAAAGTTGTTTTCATCATGCCATCATAAAAAATAATAATAATAAAAAAAAAAAATTAAAGATCCCGTAAGTCACGTAATCCCTGGTACTGGCAGTAATAAGTACTGTGCAGGGCAAATGAACAAAAAAAAAAAAACGTTAGTAATAAGCTAAAGAAGCGTAAAGGAATTCTAAGCATTTCAAATAGATACCTTATTAGAAGTAATAAACAGTAAAGAACAGCGTCGGTGGAAGAACTGGTACGATACTCCAGTCCAGGTCAACATAGGTCTCTTCGGCGTAATTAAACTATAACGACAGCACAATGGCACTTGATGGCCTAAGGATGCACATTACAACGGAGTCAACTCGAATAAAGAAAGGATAAAGGAATCCAGTTGTCATTATGGTGAAAGAATGGGAATTGAAAAGAACGAGTATAAAGCTTTGAAATATTTACATCAATCTGTTGATAGTGGTCATAACGATGAATTGTTGCGACTTGGATACAATTACCGACATGATATTGGTGCCGAGAGAGATGAGAAAAGTGGATGAGTAAGGAAATCCAATTGCTATCCATGATACTGGTCTTTGTTATGATAAAGAAAAGTATGACAAAGCATTTGAATGTTTTCAAAAATCTGCTAATATGAGACTTGAAGTTGCGACGAGTAATGATGTTAGATAGTGTCGAATCGGGGTTAGTGCAAAGAGATAGAAATCTTTTGAAAGCCAATAAATTACTAGAAGATATCAATCCTGAACTCAAGAGAATATTAGACGATGAGAGATTTAAATTGTTGTGGATTGATTATAATGAGTTCACAACTATCCGGGATTGGAAAAAGGAGGATTCGCAACCTTATACTGGGCCCGTCGATTTGATTCAATTAATAATGTGTAGAAAGATGTTGCACTTAAAGTCATTCGTGATTCAAATACAAGTCTGCAGGAATTTACCCGATAATTGGAGAATTACTGTGAAATTGGTTACGAAAATCCTTCGTTCTTGAATTGTTTGGGAGAGCCAATAAATAATTATGGCTATTGTATTATTATGGGATTCATCAAAAGACCGTTACGGCGAAAGAAGTACCACGATTAGAATGGAAAGATAAATTGAATATTTTGTGCTGTATAGCCTTGGATCTTGAGTCGATTCATTCGCAAGAACTCGTTCATAAAGATTTACACAGCGGAAATATTTTACAAGCATCCGAGGCTTTAGTTGGTCAACTGCGTGCTCCAGCATCAGATATTTACACACGTGAAGTTATATAGACTTAGGTTTCGAGCAAACAAAAAGCATTTGATGGAATCACACCTAATAGTGAACCTGTGTTAAAATAAAATTCTCGGTAGAACAAGAGCTAAGTGCTTAGGATCAAAGTGTGCGAAAAGGGATCATAATATGAAAAGGAAAAGATAGACGAACCTGACGAATCCGATTTGTGTGGTCATTGTGATGAAAACGCAGATGAACCGAAAAGCATGGTCTTTGATACTGGTTTCAAAACGATATTAAAGACTTGTTAGGAAAACAACGAAGCGGATTCAGAAAATAGGAAACAGAAGATTCGTTAGTACATGGTACGGCGAAATTAGATGAAAGGGAAGTTGTACCTAAAGTGATGCGTGATTCAAACAAGAATTAGTCGGGAATTGAAGAATTACTGCGAATTAGCACGTGGGTAATTTGAATGAAGCTTGCGACTAAAGACTTTAAGCGATTGACACGATTCGGGGGATCTAGCTTAGATGAGAGCAAGGATAGTTAAGTGGTGAAAAGCTAGATGTTGATGGTATCAATTTTCGAATGTAGAATCGGTTAGAGGTGTTGTTGACTACGAGGACGTTAGTCAAGCGGGTCTAGCTGCTGTCACGGCCAAAATCGGTTCTACGGCAAAATTGATCTTGGATTATCATACGGGTTTACTAGTCGATAGTTCAATGCGTGTAACCGATCAATCAAGGGGCATAAGAAATATGTGATTGAAGTGAAGGATAAGTATCGGATGATTAATTAATTATGTAATTAAAGTAAAGTTAACTATCGTGTGATTAATTATGATGTAATTAATCTAGATCGAACGTTAAGTATATAAGGAACCTTTTTGCTGATGAAAGGACGTAACAACACATAATGGAACTAGAATTTATGGATGGTTACGACTCTTATGTGCGTGGCAGGGCACATGAGGAAATATAAAAAAAAATTATCCGTTCACATACAAAATAAGTACAAAACATAAGTAAAAAATGAAAAATACTTTCTCTCAAAGCGTCTGAACGGCATATTATGAGAAGACATAACAATCCCGGCGATTTTGGATAACTCCAATTAGTGGTCGGAAAGGGCCGCCACAGATATTCTTCATTATAACAAACAATTATCATTGCTTCATATTTTTAAATGACTTATATTTTTTCTCTTCGAAATTGCATTTTGAGATTACTTATCAATGAAATTATGCTTGAAATTTGATTGGTTGACGTGGCCAAAATATATGTTAACGTGTCTAAAAAAAAAAAAAAATTTAATACAGTATTATTAATGGGTATCCGTAAGCCGTACTAAATTTAGTACAAAATACTTAATTTAGTATAGTAAAACTATTGAATTTTTGAAAATTTGTTATTATTAACTTTAAATTAAATTTATATAAAATGTAATCCTATATCTACTGTATATTTGATTTTGGTATATTTAAAAATTTGATAATTTAATAAAAGTTATATTAATAAGTTTTAAAATTATGACTCAATTTTTTTTTTGCTAAAGCAGTAAAAAAAAGTTATATTATTGCAAATAAAAAAAATTTTATTTGATTAAAAAGTTTTTTTTCTTTAATAAAAGTTGTAAAGCTAAATTTTCTGAATCTAATGATAGTAAAATCATTAAAATTGGTTTAGTAGATAAAAAATTATATAAAATTAAATTTTATTAAAAT